AAAGGGGTACGTTGTAAAGGATACTGGCAAATGGAATTATGCATTGCACAAATTCGGGACTTGGAGATGTGTAAATTGTAACAGTGTAAACGTTATAAACAAGGTACGTAGCAACGAAGTGCGACTGTTACAGTAGCTATATATTGTTATAGAATGTCTCTATTAATACACGGTGCACTCGCTAGGTGGCGCTTGTATATGATATGAAAGACTGAAAGTGCCTGTATATTATACTATATAATAATATCAAGAGTGGATAATAGAGATAATATCAAATGCCTCTATCAATATATCGCGCACTCACTAGGTGACGTTAATAGCTCATATGCTGACATTTGTTACCATTGCCTTACCCATATTGTTCCGTACGGTATAATATGTCCACACGATATCACCGTGAAATCACACATGGAGAAAAGGCACCTGCAGTGGAAAACCATTTACGTAATGACCACACACACGCTGCTACATTAGTTGGTTTTTAATAGTTTATGTATAAATGGTTCGCTGTATACTCACACATACTGGCAAGCACCTCCAAATTCGAGCTTAAAGTGCCTGTATAATATCATTTCTCTAAGAATACACTACACACTCGCTAGGTAGTGTGCTACAAGCGAAAACTACCTGCATGCTTTATTTGTTGTGAATATTTACATTATAAGGGCAAGAGTTAGAGTTAGAGCTAGGGTTAGGCTTGGGTTCAAGGTTAGGATTGAATATTGTTATAGAATGTCTCTATGAATACACAGCGGACTCGCTAGGTGGCGCTAGTAAATCATATGAAAGACTGAAAGTGCCTGTATATTATATACTACAGTACACAATCTATTATCTGAAATTCTGAAGACCGAAAAGCTCCGAAAAACAAGTTTTTCACGAAGGTCGTCTGCACACCAAAGCTCGCGTTTGGCTGCACAAGGTTCACTGCAGAAATATTAATGTGTTTGGTATTACTCATACATATTGTACTTTACTGGCACAGCACTTGTGTAATAAAGCAGAAATCATGAGAGCGGAAATTGTAGATGTATATATGTATATATGTAAATATGGAAATGTAGGAATAGAGAGCATAGGCGATAGTGGCACGAGTATTAGAGAAATTAGTTAGAGAGACAACGATTATA